ACGGAAATTTCGGATAGTTTTCCGGCTGAAATACTTCCCTGCATGCAAAACATGAGGAGTTGCATTCCTGCAGGAAACTTTTGCTCGATAACTGTTGCTATCAGTTAAAATTCCGTAGTCCACATTCATTACTGGTCTCAACTTTGGGGTTTTGCGGCATAGGTATGTTGTTCATAGCCACACCACTCTCGTTTGAACGGCCGTGTTCCTGTTCTTGCGTCATTATTCCGGTGAGTCCACAAAAAAGGGAAGCACTGGACGCGAGCTTCTCTCTTATTAGCGCTGAAAGCGTTACCGTATCCTGCTGCCCTTGATGTATTTTTTGCTGTGTTCGGGATTCATCCAACTGTCGAACTGATCTCTTGAGTTTCATCTCATTTGCGGTTTAGCAGCTCTGGTGGTTTAGCTGTCGTGCTGCTAATACTGGCCCTACCTTGGGCCACCGAGTTGAAGGCTTCTGGTTGAGTGATTAGCCGTTGGTAGTCACATTTTGGTGGTTCATTTGTAAACTCTGTGAAGACATTTTGGTGGTTCATTTGTAAACCTCTGTGAAGTCACTGTATAAAAGCACTGAAAATCCTTGCCTGTCCATTTTATGCTCAAACAAACTGAAGCTCTGAGACCCTGAAAGATAGTTTATACGATGTCTGGTTGTGGTGCAATAACAAATTATTTCTCAAGCACGTAGATGATGCTCAACCGAGTAGTTTTCTGGACTAGACTTTGGACGGAAGAGCAACAGCAAACGGCTGATGCAATAAAGCCCTGAACACAGACCATTTCTGTGCAGTATTATGTTCTGAAACAACCTGAGCCGCTTGACTGCATGTTGACCCAATTACGAGCTTGGTTACAACAGTGATAAACAACACCGCCATTAGCTATAGGTGGTGGGGGGTCAGCTATTGACCGTCACCCATTCTTGAGTACTTATGTTGATTTATGTCATGCACTTGTTACCTTATGCTTATCGTTTCGCATTCCCGAAGTGCGCAAGATACGTGCAACTCGGCTGATCAGAGAGAAGCTCTCGGACGACAGACAACTATGTCGGTCCATGTATCTTTTGGAACTTAGGTCTTCTGATGAAGGCTCCCATCGTAACGCACCGTACATAAGTATGCAAGTATGCAAGATGTCAGGCGTTCCTTTTGCAGAATGGATTAATTAACTAAATACGAGCATTGGATCTCTAGCAGCACTAAATCTGCTTGAAGCCTTGATACTCTTTCATCGTGGTTGAGGGTATAATATGCTTCGCAAGACTCCAGACGTCGAGCGAGGAGAAGAGAGAAATAAAAAACTCAGGGAGTGCGTGTTAACTGTTTTAAATCACACGCGAAATGTACCCATGGAAAGCTCTAGCTTACCAGATAAACGCTGACAAAAGATGCTCACTTATGCCTAGAATAGAATACCTGAATCTTCAAGTTGGACAATTCAATTGGTCACCTCAGGTTTCATCTGGATGCATTACCCGCAACGGGCCAGTAACAGTAAAAATTTCACCTCTGACGGTTTTGGAAGTCGACAAAACTTTTGGTGCTGACAAGCAACTATTACCCACGTTAAGAGGTAGAGGTGAAATCGTCAAAAGATGCTTTCACAACATAGTTCATCCTTTCTAGACGAAGAGTAATGTTTCATCCAACCGAACTAGCTTGATGGTTTTGGACATTTTTACAGTGAGCGCTTGTAGTTAATAGCAGTTACAGAGGAATCATTTTAACTTGCCACCAGACTCTTTGCATCCCTTATCATTTGTCGTCATATGGGTGCGTGTAAAGATGAAACCAGAGAACGGCAAGTAGGCCATGCTTTTACTCCGTAAATTGTCGGAGCAATGCATACGGGCGGAAGGATATCCGTTGATTCCATGAGTGTTTATAATTCCACCCACCACAAAAATGTATGCACCAGAGGTTTTCATTATCATACACTCTTTGTGCGTACAACATTTTAGGGCCCCAGAGTATGTGAGGACTTCGCCGAACGCTTCCCTTGAAGCACTGGTACCCGAGGAGTGCATCCAATCTCGCTAATGATTGGCTAAGAAGTTGAAATTTATAGGTTCCTCAAAACCCCGGTGATGAAATCTACCCGAGTAAGCACCTTGTCTATCTGGTACATGCGAGCGACACTTATCTGCTTTTTCAAGAAGAACAGAAAGCACAAATATTACTAGTGATACTGACCAGGATTATCCAGGCTTTCGGTTTGTGCTTCGAGCCCACGAATTGCAGTGTGATGCTACGGAACGTGAGGTATTTGATCGTACCTCTTGGTAAATGGGGTCTGACACCAGAAGCCTTCGAACATTCGACGTGTATCGGAAGCTGCGTTAGCCCTTACTAAAGTGTCAGACCTAGCCAACTCACGAATGTCAAAGGCCAGAGCAGTGTTTGTCAAATTGCGCCACTGTAATTCACTAATTCACATAGGACGCATTTATCAGACTAGAGTGGATCTGTTTTGAATGGCTGAGACAGAGCTGTAGGGAATGAAAACTTTGGACATCGTTGGTGCTGTTCACCCTCCGTAACTCCGTGTGCTTAGTTAGATACACTGAATGATGTGACAGCTGAACGATATCATGATTTTCGAAAGATACACTCACTTGCAAATCAATTTAGTTTTCACGAGAGACTCAACTGAATCTCTCGTTTGTGGTATTCTTCAACTGAATGTGCTGAACCCAGGCCGCCTCATATTTCAGTTGGCACGATATTCGAGATATCATACTATATACTATTAAAGGAAAAATGAAGTGGTCTGTGTGCAGCACATTCAGTTGTAGACTATCGTACAAAATTTTCAGTTGAGTCTTTTGTGGAAACCAAATTGATTTTCAAATAAGTGCATTTTTCGAAATCAGTCCAATTTAGGTTCAAGCAGAATATAAGTTTGGTGGAAATTTGGGGACTGCGCCTACCTAATTAGCCCCAATGAGAGAGAAACCGGCTGTGGTGTGTCGAAGTGTTTTCAACAAACTTGTGAGTAATTGCCTTCATGAAGATATCACCGGTGTTTATATTTCCATTGTCTCTCCAGGTTGTCTATCTGAGTGTTTGTTAAGTAGGCAGTTCAAATTTTGTTGTGGGCAAGTTATGCGTCTCTTCGCTGTCCTGTTTTTTTCTTTGAATCACACAGCCTTTTTCAAATTGGTTTATTTATACAACAGTGGAATGGTGTTGCTGTCAGTGATAACGATTTTCTGTGTTGCGAATCCTCAGCATACTAAACGTGGCTGACATCATGCATTATTTGCCACTTTTGTATGAAAAGGTGACTCACCCGTATTAAATCATTCAATAACAGATTATTTTCCACCGAGACTGTTGATTCAAGACTAGTTCTGTAACATGAGTGTCCGCAGAACAACTGATTGATAACAGTTTAAGATCTCTTTAAACAGTGATTGTGGTGTCATTTTGCCATCAAGCCCCTACTACAGATACTTTTCACATGACTATGGACTGAAGTACAGAGTAATTTGGAGGCCTTCCTAATTCTACTTGCTGAGCACCTTAAGCTCATGTTTTTCTCTTGTCGTGACTTTGCCCAGTGTTTAAGTGTATCGTGCTAACCTTGACTGCTGCAAAATTTTCCAGCATTCTCTCCCTTAATTCGGGTATTATTTCAGAAGCTCCATAAGGTGTACTGGATAACTTCTCAAAAGAATACTTCTAAAATCTTGGAGGGTGAACTAAAGGAGATCAATCTTTGTCTTTTAATACTTTCAAATACCGTTCACCTGGAATAGCCATGCATGAGAATCAATCTGAATGCACCTGCTAGCTCATCAGCTTGGCAATGCCACAAGCTCTGGCTACCCAACAAACCACCGTTCCACTTGCATATACTTGCATTCTTGCATCTATGCTTCCACCTGTAGGGACCGTGTCGATAGAGAACATAGATGCTATGGTTTAGGTCCTTACACAAAATGTTTCTGTCTGATTCTACTTGATCAGGGGACAATGTTGACAATATTCATTTTCAGTCTCACAACGCCTTGATATCATGGTGTTTATTATGTTTGGCTGAATTGCATCAATCGGCATACTGTGGTGGCCAAGTAACTGGCTTCTAACCAGTCTATCACCATCGGTACGATCGGATTTGTTGTTCGGCCAACATAGAACAAACAGAGTATACAGAGTATACACACTGCCTTTAACTTGGTAATGACATAATCGCTGAATACCCCGTTTTATATTCAGGATAGGCAACTTTTTAAGCCATCACAACTATCGTGGGATATGGGTTTCATATAGCCTTAGAATTAAATCGCATATCCGCTGATGTCATAAGTACCTCAGAAGAATAATTACTTTCATTATGTTGATAGGTGCTATATTTCGGAAACGAAGGTCTTTACCTCGTTATTACTCATCGAATGATACGGGAGGCCTGAACTTGGTGCACGGCGCTCAAAGGCAAACAACACAACCGCCTAACCAAACAACCAATCACAATCGGCTCAGCCCAAAGGCATTTATTTCAGCACATGTAAATCGTCACTCATGGTACACCCCGTGACTCTCTGCCACACAGAAGCTTTCTAGTGAGGTTATTTAAATTCAAAATGAAACCTTATCATCTAAACTGTCCAGGTGATCTGAAAGCTTATGACCATCGTCTCAACAGTGAACAAGTTTAATTTTGTTAGGTGGGCAAAACGACAACCTAAAGCTCCGCAATGTTTTCGCCTGCACCCATGACTGAATGATTGTAATTGTTACTTCTGGATAAGCCTCAACCATCTCTGAACCTTATTGTCATAAAAGCTACTCTGTTGAAAATGCGGTTGATATCAGGCAGTTTGTTTTGAGCAATTTCAATGCGGATCACTATGCTACGAAACAATCTGTCACCGTAACACGGTATTGTTCACTCTCAGATGGTGAACTAATTTTCGTTAGGGGAAGAAACTGTCGATCTGATCTTGTCAGCACAAAACTAGTGGACTAAAACGGATATTTTGATTGACTGATGAACGTGGCGACCGTTCATGATTGACAAGCTCAAAAAACGTTAAGAACCCTCAATTTGTCTGGTAAGTCCTCGTAGAATTTAGGTGGAACATTGTTCCACCAGTTTACTCACTTTATTTGTGTGGCATCACAGTTATCTGCTAATTAGCAGGCGAAGTATCAGTTACACTTAAGATACGTGGCATGTCTATACAGTGTGCGACTCTGTCAAATCTAACCAAGAGTAGCATGTTCAACAGTTCGGCAGAGTGGTTGGTCAGGAAATGCCCATAGTAATTATGAATACCTGAACAATGAGCAAATCTGTAATGCTACCTAATGGCATGATCTGGATATCACCATATCTAAGTCAAAATTTACCGTTGGTATTTCGGTCACTTTGTTAGGTTTTGATATCCGAGGATTATCCGTTTTTTATTTTATCTGCAAGTCAGTTTGCTAAGTTGGCCTATTCACTCGAGTAGCCGTGTTGACCAAGTTTTAAGGTATTTCGCACATTCTAGAAAGTACATTCGAGAATCGTTAATATTAGCCGAGGAGCAACTAATTTTTCCGCCAGCCTAATGAGTCCAGCTAAGAGACCGCTGAGCAGCGTACTAGGCATAGGTGCGCATAAGCATTGTACTGAGATGCAGGGTACTGGGAGATTGGTATATGCTTTTTGATTTACCCATTACATCAAATCAAGAGAGCCTCGAGTAGGGCGAAAGTGTAAAACTCATTCTGAAGGAGGAAGTCCTGTGGAACAGTAAAAGCGCAGTTTAACGTGTTCATTCCTGTGGGATCAAAAGGCAGTAAAGCAGAAGTGGCCAGAAGCCAAAGTCACTTGCAATCATTAGGTCATTGTTGCCAGATGAGATGGGACAGCTAAACCCATGGATGGCATAGTGCGCATGATGCATATGACTCGCGTATTGCCTGCAAACCATTCCAGCATTAGATGGGTTTGGATAATATTAGTGAAATTGTAAACAACACTGTCCGAATTGCGCCATCTGCTGAGTATCAAATCAAGCAACATCACAGGTGCTGCATACCAAAAAATATTGTTAAGCCTTTGGAGAATGGTGGATTACACCGCGTTTTCATTTTCAGCGTTTTGCATAGAAGACCTCGCGTTTATGCATAGACCTCAAAGACGATGTTGGATAGGACGCTATAAGTTTAAAAAAAGTTGCTTACGGAGTATCGGGTGTCATTATTAGTGTACAGTACTCCGTTGGGTAATTTCGATTCAGAAGTCCATGTGGTTCGTCGAAATGCTGCAAAATTCTAGGGTTTTAGAATTTTGAAATTTAGCTCTCAACTTTCTAGCGTTTGAGGACTGTTGAGAGTCTGGCAGGTGTAGTCAGCGGAGTGCATTAAGTAAAGCATTTGTATGTATGGGAGAAATTTTAGCACTGCAATATTCGAAGATAAAATTTTTCTGGAAAATTGTGGCTTAATATCGGGCCGAACAAAGTATGACTGCATATAAACATCCGCATCTAAATAGTGTGCACTGGCGACAAAATTGAGTGAAATTTAAAGTGTATTCAACATATTGCACTCAAACCAAGGGTATGCTCGGCTGGACAAACTCACACTGGATTCCGGACTAATGTACAATACTGATTTATGTAACGTACCATCGGCAACCGCTGTAACTAGGAATAGTAATGTTAAAGTAGAGCGATTTTGGGGCTTGAGTTCGTGTAACTCGGCGATGTGTACCCGACTAATAATTTTGTCGAATCAGAGATTTCCTGTCATTTCAACTACGCATCTTGGACCAGTGAAAGAATAATCTACTATCTAATAATTTATGGGAACATTGCGTGTGTTTTGCATGACAGAAAAGAGATCTTGCGACAAAGCTTTAGCTTTAAATTTAAAATACTGATCACAATTCAAATATATGCGCCCGTTCTTCGATTTCCTTTGATGAAAAATAACATTTCCACGCATACTTCTAGAGTACAAATATGTATCACTGTCAGGCACCCACATCTGACATCTGACGTTTGTTAGCACAATAATTTGGCTCGCCAAGATAAGATACCGTCATCAGTGGAAACTCTTTGTGCAAATTAAATGCGTAGTTTACTCATCTATCATATTTTCTTTTCTTGTCTGATTACTTGTGATCAGAAAGTCATCATCTTGCGAAGCTTTGAATAGCAGTCCATATTGTTGTTAGGAAATTAATATTGGTCCTTTAGTTTGGTGGTAGTGTGGGGTGGTTTAATAATTTTCAATCTAGATTTCATCCCGTCTTTCGGTGGACCTATGTTTAAAAGCTGGGACTCACCGTACAACTGCTCCAATTGTAAAGTGATTACATTGTCGCTTAGCCACTTTTAGCCAAGCGGTTGAG